ATTTCATTCTTTTTTTGTTTTTTTTTGTTTTCTCATTGTTGCTTTAAGTCTATTAATATTAATAATACTATCATTCATAAATTGATAAATAACCAACAAATTACGTAAAAACAAAATCTAGTGACATAATGATACATATATATATATATATATTTTAAGGAAAATAAAAAGTAAGAAATAAAATATGTTAAATTAAAAGCAAAAATAATAATAATAATAATAAAAAGAAAAGAACAAGTTTTATAGAATAAAAGTTAATGGTCCTTCTCGGAGAAAAATAAAGAAAGAAAGAATAAGAGGGAGAAAGAGTAGACACCATCAAGCTCGTTCACTTTGTGCTCGTTGGCTATTTGGTCCGGTACTTTTAGTAAAGCCACGGCAACTAGTAGTAGCCATGGATAGGTAGTATTCCCTCTGGCAACGTAAGCGTACTTTGTCACCTGCTTAAAGAATCCTTTTATTGCACCTACATGCTCTCTCGCTACACCATACGATTTTTCAACGTTAAAATATCGCCCAGTTCTACTTCGAACGAGCAAACGTATCCACCGAATGAACGTTTCGCCATATTGTTCTGATGATCGTTTGGGCTTTCGAAAAATTCTTACAACAATTACTTTATCTCTATTCAACTTTGTAACATTATTTATTTTACGAATAATAATAATAATAATAATAATAAATATATATATATACTTATATAAAATAATTGATAATTAAAATAATAGTAATAATAACAACACACACCATCTCTCTTTTTCGTTTTTAATTAACAAAGAACAAATAGAGATGCAACGACAATTATAAGATTAAAATCAAATAATTTAACTCTATCTTCGTATATAAACATTTGCCGATATTTATAAACGTTTTTCTCTAACTTGTACTAATGTTTTATTTTAATTTCAAATTCTTTTAATGTTAAAATTAAATAAACACTTTTATAAATCGATTCCAATCTTTGGAATAAAACATTCTTAATTCCCTAAAGACAAAAGAACCTTATGTTAATTTACACGAGAACCGAGAACAGCCTACGTACTTTTCCCATATTCTTTTTTATTTTACTTCTTTATTTTTTGTTCAACTTTCTTCATTCGCTCTATCCTCTCGTGTAAGTCACATGACGAAGTTTTGCAGTGTTACCAGTAATTTTACGATGTACGAGTATGAGAAGAAAGAAGAAGAAGAAGAACAACAAGAACAAGAACAAGAACAAGTAAAAAATGAACTAACCACCGTATCGTTTCACTGCTAGGAATAAGAAAAAAGAGAGAGAGAGAGAGAAAATGGGAGGGAAAAAGGGACGGAGAGAGGGAAATAATATTAGTTCAAAAAATGGTACAAACAGAAAACGTCGAGGAGAGAAAAACTTAATAAAATGCATTTTGCATCGTAAGAAAAACGGCCGCATGAAATGCAAATGTGGCTTTAATCGAATTCCTCTTCGACCCATTCGTGAGAGCTCTCGAAAAAGAATGAGAGAGATAGAGATATAGAAATACAGGGTGGGCCAAAAGTTCCAACCTGATTTTTATTATTTTTCTTTTTTTCTTTTTCAAATCAATTACTATACTTTTTTTTTTTTTTTTTTT